ACAACATTACACTCTAGTTTACCATTTGTCCCTGACAAATCAGTTCAAAAATAATCAACACTCGGAGAAAACTTGCCAGTAAACATAAAATTCCTGTCGTTTTCAAATTCACTCATAAACCCAACCCTAAATTAAAGTCATTACCAAATAAGAATTATGCGGAATCATACAGTATCAATTTCATTTATAAAACAATGTGCAAAAAACAGAATTCCACAATGGAGAAACTGGAACAAAATTGGAAATCAAACGTAATAAAAAAAAACTCCCACATTTACCATCACTGCAACTCAAAAATAAAAATAAAACAGTATATCTATAAACAAAACACTGTAATTTTAAACAAAGAACCAAGCAACCACAACTGAACAAAACAACCCTACTCTAAACCAACACACCGAGGTGTCAAAATACCTTAACTAAACTGTTAAGCAATCTCCAGTCATGTGATCTCTGTATATATATATATATATTTCTATGTCTATGTAAACTACTTGTACCTGATGATTACATAAGCTTGTTGAAACACTGTACATTTGTAATAAAGTTTCTTCCACTACCGACTCAAGCTGTCTCCAAACATTTTATAATCTGTCTGGCTTAATGTAAAGACAAGATATTAAAATTTTAATATCTTACCTCTGCATGGCTGTAATAGGTATTCCATGCAGCTCGAAGTGATTCCTGACCTCCCAAGTCCCACATGATGAAGTGGACATTTTTCCACACAACTTCTTCTACATTACTTCCAATTGTTGGAGAAGTATGTACGACCTCTTTCATTAAACTAGTTACGTGAAAAACGTTAACTTATTTTCAATATTATCAATTAGAAACAAATATAACGTACAACTATAACACAGTAGAAACAATAGGACAGTCTGTAGAACTGGGATGTCTAAAAAAAATAAGCCAAAATAAGTTTTCTACCCCTACAAACAAGCATGAGTCCATACAAGTGAAAGAGAAAACCACATCTTAACCACGATACAAAAATAGTGTATATTAAGTAAAAAATTACCTTCAAACTGAAGACACAACAACACTGTGATGGAAGACAACAAAGGAGGTCAAGCATTACCTTTTAACTGAATACACAAACAACACTGTGATAGAAGAAGATAGAAGAAGTCAAGCATTACCTTTTAACTGAAAACACAACAACACGATGATGGAAGAAGACAAAGGAAGTCAAGCATTACCTTTTAACTGAATACACAACAACACCATGATGGAAGAAGACAAAGGAAGTCAAGCATTACCTTTTAACTGAAAACACTACAACACCATGAAGGAAGAAGACAAAGGAAGTCAAGCATTACCTTTTAACTGAAAACACTACAACACCATGAAGGAAGAAGACAAAGGAAGTCAAGCATTACCTTTCTAACTGAAAACAACAACACCATGATGTAAGAAGACAAAGGAAGTCAAGCATTACCTTTTAACTGAAAACACAACAACACAATGATGGAAGAAGACAAAGGAAGTCAAGCATTACCTTTTAACTGAAGACACAACAACACCATGATGGAAGAAGATAGAAGAAGTCAAGCATTACCTTTTAACTAAAAACACAACAACACGATGATGGAAGAAGTCAAGCATTACCTTTTAACTAAAAACACAACAACACCATGATGGAAGAAGACAAAGGAAGTCAAGCATTACCTTTTAACTGAAAACACAACAACACCATGATGGAAGAAGACAAAGGAAGTCAAGCATTACCTTTTAACTGAAAACACAACAACACCATGATGGAAGAAGAAGAAAGAAGTGCTTCAGATATTGCACACTCAAGCCTTCCTGAATCACACAGACTGAGATTAGCAGCAAGCATAACAGAAGTGTGAAATGTACTTGGACATATCTGGAACTTCGTTTTTGATAAATATACAGGGTGTTCCAAAAGTCTGGAATCATAGGTGATTTGCAGCTTTTCATAACTTCAAATACGCGATTGATCATGGTGCTGTCAAAGTTTGAGTTCATCGAAATTTGTTTTGAATTACAAGGACAGCATGTAGAATACATGTTAGAAAATTCACTGAAGTACCTATGGTCCCAGATTTTTCAGACACCCTGTACAGGTAGCCTGAGCAAGGGGGTGCTTCTATGACATTCATATGTTCAATAATTAAATAAAGAGTTAAGAAAAAGAAAAATCCACTCTTCCATATAGCCAAACTTCAAACAGAAATATTTGGTGGAGAGAGAGAGAAACTGATCTTGTTAGAAGTTAAAATGTGACAAAAACTCTGGCAAAAGAAACTCACCAAACACGACCATCTTACCAGTACGTTAAAGGCGAAGGGAGGGACACAAATATGATGTACGTTAGGTCTAAAATAATCAAAATAAGCTCCCAATAGTTTCCGAACCATAAAGGCGATAAAGTTAAACACAGATAGAATAGCACCAAAGCATATTAACATCTAAATTTAAAGAGGCGACAAAATAAAACTGATTGGGATTAGGCAACAACCAACAAGTTTAGTAAAAAACAAATCTCCAGAACCTAGATCAAGTGAGGTACGAATCCAAAGACTGGACACATCCTGATGAAACACTTGGTCTCAAATTTTATATTTATTCAATAAGCCTCTTCGATGCATAATAAGATATAACAAAGTTTATTCTTAACAATACGGAAACTTAAAACATATATGCAAATAAATTCATCTTGTTGGCAAAACAGAATTACTAATTAAAATATCTACTTACAACTGATACAGAATTGTTGTTTTCCCTGCGTTATCAAGGCCTACAATGACAATTTTGTGTTCTGCAAAAAAAATAAAAATCATATGACTGCAAAATCTATATATATATTCTAATAGTAAATTCCACTGGATACTAATCATCCACAGCCTACATTAAAAAGCAAATCTCCTGTGACTGTAGATTAAAATTTACCTTCCCAGGTATACTTTACATAATTATACACATACACTGTATGGGAAAATGTCCATGTATTTGTAGGTACAAGTGCATACATTCAGCTCCACATTGCATTCATAGCCAAGGCTGTTAATTAGATAGATACAAATGTAGGTCATATAGAAAACTGGGTTAACTGGTTAGGTTTTAGTTTTATGTGCCACTCCACCTATCAGGTCAAGCTGGATCAAATTCCCAAGGTTATTTCATAACAACTTCAAATACACTTATTTTAAACATTTTTTTTTAGATGATATAAAAAAATAGACATAAATCAGAGACTAGATATAAAAACAGAACAGACTCTGCCTTATTACTACAGATTTTATGCCACACCCCTATATATATATACGTACAAAAAGGAATAATTTGTTTATTGATTTATGAATATGTGATTTTGTTTTAAAACTGGACTGTTTAAAAACACTAGCAACTGGAGGGACACTCAGCAGAGCACACACCTCCACCACCCACCATTGATCATATTCAGCCCTAAAAAAAATTCGAAAATGTGTC